ATGAGGATTTCTACACGTTAGAAAAAACAAAGGGGTCGCCTATTGCCATATACCGGGTACAATTCCATATTTCGCACTCGATACATAAATAATATGAACTCTATTGTTTTGTAATAAAGTCGGAAATGTTGTGTATCCCATAATTTAGTATTGCTTGACGTGCTGTGTTCCGAAGGTTGGAGTTGTGCTCCCATGGCGCGCTCCTCGTGACATTCACGCAAGGTGTAGTCACTGTAGTCAGCACTCGACGACCCGACCCGGCCGCTACTTTCTACATGGAAGTAAAACTGCTCGCTCCCCGCTATGTTGCTGACACCGCGCTATGTTGCTCTAGCGGTCCACAGTGTGGCCGACATGAGGGTGACATTGTGAGATTCAGCTCAATAATCCTTCCTTTTTTGAGGGAGGCAAATCATCCAATGAATTCTCCCGTCTTGGGCTAGGCGGGAGGGAGTTTCAGACGTTTACTGACTAAAAATCACCCCGTTCCTACTCCTGCATAGAGCCGAAAACGCGGTAACCCGTAATGCCTTGCGCGGCTCCGTATCGGGCAACAGCCCTGCTGGGCCCCATCAGTGGTGGTCATTCTTTCCTCCAGCTAGTTGGTGTGACTGTATCCGCTGTATTGCTGGCAGTGGTTGCTGGAGATCACGCTCAGTACCCGAGAGATATTTTATAAACATAACATAACATAACATCACGCCTTTTATCCCCGAAGGGGTAGGCAGAGGTGCACATTATGCCACTGTATAATGTAACACCCACTTTTCACTGTTAGAGGGTGAGCCTATAGCCATATACCGGGCACAATTCCAGACTCCGTGCTACTACTGAGAATTTCTTAAAAACCCTGTAATAGTTTGCTCGACCCGGGAATCGAACCCCTTACCCGGCAGTCGCAATTGTGACCACTCGGCCAACGAGACAGATATTTGATAAAATCTATGAGAAAATAGTTTAATACCTTTCGACTACTCATTAACATTGATTTATGTATTGACACTCTTATTTATGAGTATCAATATCTTATGATTTCTTTTATATAGTAATTGCATGTTACGCACAGCGCCCCCTCGGGGCACAACAACAATGCGTTAATTCGATATGTGTACGTTACGTAAGAGTGAAATATTTGGTGTCAGTCTCCGCCGCGTGCGGACTCGGATCACGGATGAGAACCGGTCCGGGTCCGGCGGCGGCCGGCACCACATCGTGAGAACACGTTGCGCAACCAATGCAAGGTAAAAGTGGCTCCCTGCCATCTCTACCACACCGATATTATACACGCATATTTACAAATATTTCTTGACAGTTTATTTGTCCGATAGGCAGTTTTTCTGACTGTCCGTCTCAGCCTTCAAATTAAATTTTAAGTGTGGGAGAGCCATGCTTCCGCACAAATCGGCCGGCTCAACCGGAGTGATACCACGGCCTCATAGAAAACCGACGTAAAACAACGCTTGCGTTGTGTTTCGTCGCGTGAGTGAGGTTACCGGAGGCCGAATTAATTCCATGCTCCATCGTAGACCGCATCATCGTGCACCACCAGGCGAGATAGTGGTCAAACGTCGCCCCCATCTATTACGTAGAACTCGACACATGACAGGCGACAGGTAACACACAGTGGTACACAATTCAAAAGACGCTTTTGACTTTGACTTTGAATGTGAATCTCAATAAAATAATGTAATAGTTATACTTAATCGCCACTATAGCGGTCAACATTAACATGCATGTCCGCCACGATGCAGCCGCGCAGTCAGGTAAATAGCAATGTTGTGTTCAACATACGCGGGTCAAGTTCAGCGCCACACATAGGTACACAGCGCATTAGTATTGTGTCCACGCGACTGTCGCACTGCACTAGTGGCGGGAACTGATTACTATTCTAGTTGTGGACGCACGTGTTACGTAGGACTTTGATAATATCACTCATTGATTTCGTAATGAGTATTTGGTCAAATATTCGGAGTGCGTTGTCGGCAGTTTGGGGGATTGAGATAGGACAATGGGCCAAACTCAAAAGCATTTATTTGAATAGGGTAGATGCCTAATTTTTATTTTAATGTCCGTCCGGTAGATTATTTTAAATTATTAGACACGTATTTTTTATTTTCTTACAGAAACCAATACTTTCGGCGATATAATGATTTGAAATGTCGCGTGACGTCACTTCTATGTATGTACATACATTTTACACGTAGAAATGATGTTTTAGCTCCCACTCCTAAACTACGTATGACCAAATAAAAAAAATACGAGTGTAATATTTTTCCATTACCTAACTTACGGATTAATTAGATTTTTAATTTTCATACCCTGTCGTGATCCCAATTAAACCGTAATTTGGAACTTATGAAACGTCAACAAATACTAAATATCAGACTCTCATAGTTTTTTTTTTTTAAGGGGGGAAAATCATCGAATGACTGCTCCCGCCTGGGTGAGGCGGGAGGGAGTGTCAGACTCTTACTGACTGAAAACCACCCCGCTCCTTCTCCTGCACGTCGAGCCGGAGCCCCGGTTACCCGTTAGGTTCTCCGCGACAGACTCTCATAGTATGAATCTTTTGCCAAACATCGGACTCTGCTGAAGGCATGGCGGCTATGGCTCACTGATGGCATACTTAAATGTCGGAGGAGATTTATGGTCCAATCATAGCAGTTGTCAAATATGAAACGACCACTAGCGTGACACTGCCTAATTCCCTATTGGGTGAAGAACATGAGGTTCACAATCGCACCTCATCATTAGCAATGCATAATAAGGACATTAGCATAGACATAACATCACGCCTTTTATCCCCGTCCATTTATCATCATGCTTCACCCAGGCGGGAGCAGTCATTCGATGACTTCCCCCTGGAACAAATAAAGTCGGACCGGCACAGACAGTGCCGAAGAATGGCGACCTCATACGAGTCTTTAGAAGCTCTACTTTAATTCATGACCTTGAATATTTTTCTCGAACAAGGAATAGAATAGAATAGTCGCGTCGTTTCAGTAACATACAATCATATATTTCAATGCAATACTGTGAGACCAGATGGGATGTGAACCTGTGACCCACATGGTGTGGAGATGATTCATGAAAAGAAAAAGTTTCAGTGAGTAGAAAGTGGCGACACTGCCGCCGTAAACTACAACTTGTTATGAACTGACACTCGCGATATACATACCCACCCACAAACGACTATAACACGCAGAACTGTCTTTACCTTAGGGCCCTTGGGCTCCGTGCCCAGGGCTCCCATCCTCAGGGGGCCTCAAAGGACCGACCTTATTTTCTACGACAGACACATAAATCCTCTACACGTTGAGCAACGTGTAGCTGGTTCGATTCCCGCACGAAGCAACTCTTTGTGTGATCCACAGACTGTTGTTACGGGTCTGTGTCATGTGTATGAGTGTATGTGATATTGTATGTTTGTAAACGTACCCGCGACGCGACACAGGAGACAATGCTAGTGCGTTTATTTCAATAAAATCATAATTTGGTACTTTTGAAACGTCAACGAATACAAAATATATAATCACATAAGTCAAATCCCCAACTCCCAGTTTCGGTATATAACTATATGTATCTGTACGTAGCGCCACGAGAGTTGACGAGAGTGATACAAACCGCGAATGTTGCGATGTTTACAACCTTTCAACTCGCGACTGTCGACCTCACGAACAACTTTCTTGTTCGCGCCGGACGTCGAACCCGCACTACCTGTTCCTGTGCTGATGTTACTCAGTGAAAGTTGAACATCTCATCAACTACACGGTGACACACACACACACACACATACATACATGTACTAGTATGTAGTACTTATGACAAACATCCTGCTTGGATGGAACAGAGTACATACTTTGTAACAGAAAACATAACATAACATCACGCCTTTTTTCCGCAAAAGAGCAGGCAGAGGTGCACATTACGGCACTTAATGCCACTGTACAATGTAACACCCACTTTTCACTATTTATGTTATGAGTCCCATGTAATAGGGGGTGAGTCTATTGCCGTATACCGGACACAATTCCACACTCCGTGCTACTACTAATACTGAGGCATACATACATAACGTCACGCCTATCTCCCATGGGTGTAGGCAGAGACTATTGAACGCGAACATCGGTTCAACCAATCGCGAGGTGATTGCGTACAAACATATATCAGGTCAAAGTGAGAACCTCCATTAATGAAGTCGGTAAAGAAGTTGTCGGACTGTACAACTGTTCATACACAAGGTCCCTTGTAAGACTAGCTCACCTCGACACTTGCAGGTCAATACTTGAGCATAACATATAATACCACGTCCTTTACTGCGTTCATTACCTAACTTATTACTATGAACTTATATTCTTAACGCGAACAAACTATAAATGGAAATGAACGGGGCATATGATACGAGGAAAAAATAAATAGAGTAAAGTTGTACACGACGGTATCCCAGAGAAACGAAATGGAAAAGAAGCAGACCACTTCAAAGGTGGGATGATGACATCAGGCAGGTGGCGGGGTTATGAGGAGTAGAGCGGCCCATGAAAGACAGCAATGCCAATTGGAATGCAAAATATATACAAACACTAACAATAAATTAGAGAACAATTCTAGTTATTAGTTACCGTGTTGTATGTTCTGGATAAAGACTTATTTATTTATTTATTATGTGTTCAATCTGTGCAGTTACACCATTAGTACCATTGTTTAATGTCTTCCTCAAAATAAAAAAACTTATTTTTTTATCTTAAGTTATGTGTAATTATGTGATTGGCTGGAGCTACTCTTTGTGTGATCCACAGATTGTTATTCCGTGTCTGGGTGTCATGTGTATGTGAACTTGTATGTTTGTAAACGCTCCCACGACACAGGAGATAATCCTAGTGTAGGGCTTAAAATCTCGTGTTTATTTCCGCATTATGTACTTCCTCTGCCCGAAGTCTGTAGCATAAGTCTACTGAAACATAATATATATGATACTGACTGCTTCTCTTGTATTGTTTCAGATATCGCGTCGGAGAGCGGTGAGTAACTACTGACCATCGTCGAGCAATGATGGAATAAGGACACCAACCACCAAACGTGCCTTCCCACCAAACCTTCCTGGGATATCAATACCTTAATGATCTAGAATACTAAACAGATACAAAATATAATCCTAGTCATGAGCAATGTCGCGGAGAACCTAACGGGTTACCGGGGCTCCGGCTCGACGTGTAGGAGAAGGAACGGGGTGGTTTTTAGTCAGTAAGAGTCTGACACTCCCTCTCGCCTCATCCGGGCGGGAGCAGTCATTCGATGATTTTCCCCCCCCTTAACAAAAGAAAGTCATGAGCAACGAAATGATAGTATTTTAGCTAAAAAAGAGTAGGTAAAGATCGGAAAGGAGGGTCTCCTCCGACCAGGCGAGGTGACCATGCACTACCATTAGGTCTTTCTATCCATGTGCTGTGATGTCTTTAGTAGACTTCATCATCAAATTATTGGATGTCGGGATGTTCCAAACCGGCTGGACAATGGCATTGCGTAGAGATGTAGCCTCGTTGTGCATTTTCTACCGCGTATACCACGGGCAGTGGTCTGAGGAATTGTTTGACCTGATACCCGCCGCATCTTTTCGCCATCGACCCTCACGACAGCATATGCATCCCCACCATTTGATTAGACGATTTGATTTGACCATATAGATGGTTGGCAGGCCACAACTGTGCGCTTCTCACGTAGCTTTCTATAAAACTGTCGAATGATCTGTCGTCGGCGGTACTTCCGAACCGATACGACCTTCAAACATTCAAGAAAAGAGCGTATCCCTTTTTAAAAGGCTAGCAACGCACCTGTGACTCCTCTGGTGTTGCGGGATCGGTCTGCTTGTTTGCCTCCTATTCGATAAAAAGAATCATATCTTCTATGTATATGCTTCGCCATAGTTTGTTCATACTTCGTAACTATTGTGACCTTAGTTCATCTATCAGTTGTACTTGTACCAACTTACTATACAATAACACATTCCAGCTAGTTCCTTAGAGCCCCTTCACACCAACTTCACAACTTCGCGACAACGCGACGCCAGCGCGGCACATACGATTACTCTGGACAAACGCTAGTGTGAAGGGGCTCTATATCGTACCAGAAAAACCTGTAGCCTCTTTTAAAACATACATATATAACATCACGCCTTTTATCCGCGAAGGGGTAGGCAGAGGTGCACATTAACGGCACTTAAATCCACTGTACAATGTTCAATGTTGCACCCACTTAGGTACATTATTTATGTTATGAGTCCTATGTAATAGTGGGTGATCCTATTGCCATATACCGGGCCAATTCCAGGCTCCGAATTTTTAAAAAACCCAGTAATACTTTGCCCAACCCGGGAATCGAAACCCTTGCCCCTTGCTTGGCCACTTGCTCTTTTAAAACATCGAATAAAACCATCACCTTCAGTAATTATAAAAAATAAAATATCAGTAAAAATCGATTTCCCTCGACTAACGAACTAGAGTATCCGATTAATCGATAGTGTGACTGTGAGCTCTGTGAATAATCAGTTTCCCACAATGGGAGCTGCCCGGTAATTACAATACGTTCACAAAGTGTATCGATCGGTTCCCATCGTCTGCCGACACTCGGCAGCGGCGGTGCACATAGTAGGCTCCACATAGTTTTTCCAATGTCATTGTTAGTGATGACGGCACAGTGTGAACCGCGCATTGTGCACACAGCACGCTCCGTGGGAAGTGGACAACGAGGGAAGTGCCGACTGATCCGGGACGGAAGGAAGGCACTCTACATCGCATGTAATTGCTTAAGTGTGGGAGAGCCGTGCTTCGGCATGAATGGGCCGGCTCGACCACCACCGAAGACCGACGTGAAACAACGTTGTGTTGTGTTTCGTCGTGTGAGTGAGGATACCGGATGCCCAATTACTCTCCCCCCACCTTTTCCCCAATCCCTGAATCCCCAACAATCCTCAAATTCCTAATCCCCAAAAGGCCGGTAACGCACTTGTAACGCCTCTGGTGTTCCAGGTGTCCATGGACGACGTAGGTCGGTTTACCGGCTTTTCCCTTAAAAAAAATCCGGTTGTATGTACACTCTCTCTGCAAAGTTCAATCGTTTATTTTAATTAATTAGATCAAAAATTTTTTTGGAAATCAATTCCTTGTTCCCTTCCTATTAGAGACGTGTTCTTCTAGAGTATGAAGATGCTATAAATAAACTCATGGTCGTCCTTAATAAACAGCTGTTTATCGTACAGTGGAAGCACCGAGTCTATTCCAGTTCCTGTTTACTTAGGGTTACTTAGGCTGCGGACAGTCGAGTGGATTGCCGGGGCTCAGGCTGGAAGCAGGCGTAGCAACCGGGTGGTTCTCTATCGGTAAGAATTTGACACTTGTGTGAGTCGGGAGGAGTCATTGGACGTTTTCCCCCCCTTAAAAACAAAGCTACAAGACTGCTTCATTGGCCGAGTGGTAGCAAATGCGACTGCCAGGCAAGGGGTCTCGTTTTCGATTCCCGGGTCGGGCAAAGTATTATTGCTTTTTAAAAGCTTTAAAGCTTTTTAAAAATCTCAGTGGTAGTACGGAGTCTGGAAATTTGTCCGGTATATGGCAATAGGCTCACCCCCTATTACATGGGACTCATAACATAAATAGTGAAAAGTGGGTGTTGCATTGTACAGTGGCATTAAGTGCCTTAATGTGTACCTCTGTTTAACCCTTCGGGGATAAAAGGCGTGATGTTATGTTAAAAACAAAGGTGTTGTTTCTATATATGCAACAATAAACCAGAAGGGCCAAATTAAAAGTACCCTTAACCGTCGAGCATGCATGAAAAGATTGATGACTGTTATTGAAGCGAAAGAGGTATGTAGGAATCGTAGCAATTAGCATTCCATAGTCCCTACCTACCCCACGAGAGACAGGCGTGAAGTTATCTATGTATTTGTATTTATGTAATAAACCGGAGAGGTCACACGCAGAGCTAAAGGCTTCACCATAGATAAAGAAGATTTTAAATATTTCTGTGGGCTTTACGAAATGAACATCTTTACGACTAAAAAATATACGGGTTTATGCTCTATCAGGCAGTTAGCACCGAGCACTACATCACGAGTGGTCAATACAGTTAGCGCGTACTGTGAGAGATGTACAGAACAAACTACTTTCTAATGTATTGCGTCACTCGATACAATACGGCCGCACTTGTCGTCCTCCGGCCGCCGCGGGCTACACTGCCAGCCGACATACACTGCACATACTGTCGTCGTCGAAATGAGGAAATCTGTGTTTCATTTTGTCGAAGGACAATATTTTTGTTTATTACTAACCAACTAGTCAAATTCAATACTTTTTGTTTTTCGAACTGTCAAAAAACGACAGTTTTCTATGAGTTTTGTACAAGATTGTGTATTGTGACGTCACGTTTTATTGGCGTCAAACAGCATATACTTATTTCTTAAAAATTTGCTGGAAATATTTAAATTAAGTTGGTCATAAAATCAATGAATGAAAGTGTGATTATTTTTTTATATTTCATTGTATTGAACAGTCGAAATAATTTATTTTTCATTAAGGCAAGTGCCCAATTTTTACAATGTAATCTAATGTTATCAAAACGATGTTACTTTTACAATAGACAATCTTTTGCTGCGAAACAAATTTCAGGAGAGTACCTATTTCTTTTTAAAAGGCGGGCAACCCATATGTGACTTCTCTGGTGTTGCGGGTGTCCATGGGCGGCGCTGATCGCTTACCATCAGGTGATCCGTCTGCTCGTTTGCCTTCTATTCCACAAAAAAACAATAAGGCATTGTTATAAATGAAAATTGAGGAAAAAATTAAAACATATATTTTTTATAAAAACATGAATTTTTATTAGTTCGTTTCTATAAGTAATTTTTAAATAACCGAACGTTCCAATTCACAGAAACATATTTTTTAATAAAATTTTTCTTCGTTTTTATATTTTCACCTTCGAATCACATAATATTTGCTCACGTCGATATAATGTGCACTATATTATACAGACTCCCAGTGTACACGGAGCACCCTGCAGCACAGAGCGCGGTGCGCGTGCGCGTGATCTCATGAAAAAGTAAAAGTGTTGAATGAATGAAAGCTCTGCTCTGTGGCTCGCCACGAATGGTACAGTAAACATATAGTTTCGTAACGTATTAGTAAGTATTGGTAATATTATAAATAATGATTGTTTGCTTTGTAAATTGTTGTGAGCCGCGGTTTGGAATGAGAATAATACAAACGGTTGCGGTGGAATGCTCGTGCTGTTCTGTTTGTTGATCTATGAACAAATATAATTCGCTAATTTGTTAGTGTCGATATTGTGTGGGAGAGCCATGCTTCGGCACGACTGGGCCGACTCGACCGGAGTGATACCACCAACGAGCAGAAAACCGACGTAAAGCAGCGCTTGCGCTGTGTTTCGTCGTGTGGGTGAGGTTACCGGAGGCCCAATTACCCTCCTCTTCCCCAATCTCCCCAATTCCTGAATCCCCAACGATCCTCAAACTCCTAGTCCCCAAAACGCCGGTAACGCACTTGTAACGCCTCTGGTGTTCCAGGTGTCCATGGGCGACGCCGATAGCTTACCATCAGGTGACCCGTTTGCTCGTTTACAGGCTTACGCCACAAAAAAAAACTCGTGTCCTTTTCTGCGCAACCTAGTAATCCTTTTGTAAAACTATTTGGACGACACGATACCAGGAATGACGGACTGACAGAAATAATATTGGAAACAAAGCTCCCAGCTTGGAATATGTAACATTAACTCGTTACACACATGTTCCAGGTGCTGGCACTGCTAGTGTGTCTGGCGGCAGCTCGCGGCGCCGAGCAGGAGGCGGCCGGCGACGGACTGGTGCAGACTGAGGCGGAGACAGACCTCGTCGCGGAGGCCACGCAGACAGGTACGTAAACATACAACATCACAGATGACCTAACGTGTTATCAGTTACCGGGGCTCCGGCTCCATGCAGGATGTGGTGTTTAGTCAGTAAGAGTCTCAAGAACTCATTGGATGATTTTCACATAACATAACATAACATAGTTAGTAATTATGTTCATATTTATATACTACTAGCTTCTGCCCGCGACTTCGTACGCGCAATCCCGTTTCTCCTATTCCCGTAGGATTTTCAGGATTTTTTAATGTCATAAGAACCTTCTCCTGACGATAACAAACACAACAAAAATCAGCCAAATCGGTCCAGCCGTTCTCAAGTTATGGCGCGAGTGCGTGACAACGGGAAACGAGTTTCATTTTTTTGTATTGTATTGTAGTCGTGTGTAGGTATAATATTATTATTATTTTTATTTTTTTTATATTTGATGGGGCGACGTTTGATCACTATCTCGCCTGGTGGTAAGTGATGATGCGGTCTACGTCTGTTATTATATTTATTTATGTTCATATCTGAAATATGTTAGTATAATCTTCTATTTTCTTAATTAAATCGTTGCGTTGCTTGCTTCTTGCTCCTACCACTCTTCTCTGCATCACCCAAAGGTCAGACTGGGAGAAAATGCCTGCGGCATTAAGTCCACCTTGTGTACACTTTGTGTATGAAGCGTTAATAAATAAATAAATAAAACATAACTCCACACCTTTTATCCCCGAAGGGGTAGGCAGTGGTGCGCATTACGGCACTTAATGCCACTGTACAATGTAACACCCACTTATAACTATTTATGTTATGAGTCCCATGTAACAGTTCCAGACTTCGTACTAATGAGATTTTTAAAACCCGGTAATACTTTGTCCAACCCGGGAATCAGACCCGAGAACCGTTGCCTGGCAGTCGTACTTGTATATATGTAATATGTATGTATATGTATGTATGTATGTATGTACGTAGGTCCGGCCCAGAAGCGCGAGGCAGTCCTATCGAACTCGTACGGCGAGCCGCTGCCGGCCGACGCGTACGGACCGCCGGTACATATACCCGACACTGGTACGTACCACTGTATTATATTCACAGAGCTTTACGCGATCGAAGCGTTAACGCGTCTAGCCCTCTGATTGGTCTCTTAATTTGGAGCTGACCAATGAGAGCGGAGAACGTCATAAACGTGTTGGTCGCGCTAAATTGTTCGGTTAGAAGAAACACTTTCATTAACTTTGTTATAGATCTTATAATAATTTCATTATGAATATACAGTTCATCTTTAAGATATATTTTTTTATTATTAATTTGGTCGCACAAAGACCGTATCTTTAACGTGTAATTATGTTACATCCACTATTTATTAGTTATTCTATCAGACCCATTATAAATACACAGCTATTGCGAAGTCACAACCTGATTGTATTGCTGTGTGTCGACTACACTATGTCAGTCTCAGCTGTCTCACACTATCTCTGTACCCAGTTCCAGATCTCCCGCAAGGCTCCCCGGCGCCAGTGTACGGAGTCCCCGACGTGGTAGTGTTCCCCCCTTCAGGCCCCTCCCCTCCACCTCAGCCCGCCGGCACCTACGGCCCCCCTGCACCCGTGTCATTCCCCAGCCAAGTATACCACGGGCCCCCACCGCCAGTGCAGAGACCTAAACCAGTATACGGGCCTCCGAAACCTGTATATGGGCCCCCGAAACCTGTTTACGGACCTCCAAAACCTGTGTACGGGCCCCCAAAGTTCAACCCACCTAAGAAGACTTACGGCCCACCTAAGTTGAGCCTGCCTAAGCCTACATATGGAGTGCCGTTCAAGCCGCCGAAGATTACGTTGCACAAGCCGCTGTTCTCTGCGCCCAAACCAGTATACGGACCTCCTAAACCAGTGTATGGGCCCCCTAAACCTGTATACGGGCCCCCACCAGTCCGCGACACCCCTGCATTGCCTTTACCCGAGCTCCCTCAGGTCTCCCTCCCTCCTATAAACAGCAACAACCTGGACCTGGGTCTTAATCTCCCCGCACCAATCTACGGAACTCCGCTACTCTCCCTTCCAGTAGACCTGAAGCCTAACTTCCCTCTCCCGACCGACACGTACGGTCCTCCCGGTCACTCCTTGGGTCCCAACGACCAGTTATTACTACAGAATATTGGTAGTGTAGGTCATTACGGACCTCCCCAGCCGGACCCGAACCCACGACCTCCCCACCCTGGCGTCCCTGCTCCTCCCACTCCTCCTCACGTGTTGTATGATGGATGGAAACCAATCCCTGGAGTATCTCTACCAAACGGCCCCGCCGGACACATCGCCCAGCAATACGGACCACCAGTACAAGACCTGCATATCAACTTAGAACAGAATCTACCGAGCCCTGACTTTCATCACCAGTTCTCTTCCACCCACCAACAGCAAGGCGCTGTGATTTCATCAGGGTACTCGAACGTACATCAAGATGCTTTAGCCAACATCGACCTACACGCTATTTTAGGCGGAGAGACCAATCACATAGCTCCTTCAGACACAGTATTCGAGGCGCACTATACAGAGGGAGACTCGGCGAGGCAGCACGGAGGTAAGGGACTAGTCGCGCCGTCAGGTCAGTACGGAGTGCCGCCCGGCGGCCAGTACGGAGCGCCGCCGCCCGTCCCCGGGCTGCCGCTGGGCTACGGGCAGCAGTCGGGCGGCGGGCACGCGGGCGGCGCGGCGCCGCGCGCGCCCGTGGCCTT